ATATTTTTTGTACTATTTGTAAAGATATGTAGTGGACTTCTTGTCAGCACTTCTGAAAACCAGAAGACTTACTCATATGCACCTATTTGTTCTATTTGCTATGGTTTTTTTTTTTTTTTTTTTTTTTTGAGTGTTTTTTTGTCTATTTGTCCAACTAGCATTGCGAACTGTATCACTACAATGCAAGAAAATTTCAGGTTGAAAGAAAATAGTTCCTGTTCCAAAGCATATTTAATGTAGGGTTTTGATTTTGGGTTTTTTTTTTTTTAATTTGACCAATGGTAGTACCAACTTTGTAAACTAATGAAGCATATCAAAGAGGATCAAACTCATCTATTGACAGATCGATTTAAAATATCACTGGGACCAGTGGAGAGTAATGGAATAAACACATTCCTTTATCTTTTGGGCATGCACAATAATGAGATGGCTTAACGTTGTTGTTTGACACTGACAATTATTTCCCATGTTCCCGCGTGCAGGGAATTTATCGGCCACCTCCGTCTGTACAGAGCCTTTTACGGCGGCCTGGCGGATCAGCTGTGCGGGAACGAGCTGGCAGCTGCCGATGGACTCCCGTGTTGGAATGGAGAAGATGTCGTAAGAAGGTAGCTTTTCTGGCTCGCCTCTGTCTTTTTTCTGTTGTAAGTCGTGTTTTGCTAAAGCAGCTTCTGTTTGAATCAGGTGTGGTGTTTCACTGTGTCTGTGTCAGGATTAGTTTGAAAAAGAAATGAGCGTGGGTTCCCTTCTCTCAGGCTTCACCTGTATGCAGTAAATAAAATCTCCCTGCATCTCTGTTTAAGAAAAAGAAAAAGAAAAAAAAAAGAACTCCAATGTTCTTCAGACATTTTTCCTTCAAATTTGCTGCACCTAAACATACACTGGAAAAGAAGCTGGATTGGCATTTACAAAATACAGTTGGACAAAGAATATGGATTTTTGTTTGAGCTTGGTCTTTATAAAATGCTCCTTTTAATGTGTGTCGTAGCAGACTCAAGTTTAAAAGCTTCTCTGGCTGTGAAGTATGAAGTAATCTCTTAATATGTATGGTTTCCCATGAGAGAACTAAAAGTTAAGCAGGAAGATAAAACATCTTAAAAGTGAAACATATTTTTTTATATATACAGCGGCTTGGGAGACATCATTCAACAGCGGTGACAAAGAAGATACAATAAACTGAAGCAGTCTAGATGTGTGTCTCTGGAATCAATATATTCCACAGCTTATAAAACAGTAGCATTTTTGGATGGCAGAAAGATTTTCAGAGAGTTGATCTCTGTGGTTTTGCTTTATTGCTTTGATCACCAAAACAAGTATTTCTCTCAGCAGGAAGTCCTTCCCTTCTTGGTGGCAGAGACCAAAATGTTGAAAAGTTCATTGAAGTTATTTGTAATAAAAATCATGGTGTTAACGTGGTGTGTATTAATAGGTAGTATCAAAGATCATATCAAATAAGGCTGTGAGGAGAGTTAGTGAAGTGTGAGATAGCAAACAGAGCAGTGGTCAATATGCACCTTTAGGTATCTCTAAAATGTTAGGTAGGAGCTATCATTTATTAATAGATACCTAAGGAAACTTAATAGACATCCTTTTAGTAAACAGTTACGGGCTACTTTTCTTTAACTTCTTGGGCAGTCTCCTGCTTTGGCAGCACTAAGGTCCAGTGAGTGTTTGACTCCCTTGGCAGTCTCACTGACAACCTTTGTCCAAGGATTTCAACAATCTTCTGGAGATGCTGTGTTCCTTCTTCAGGTAACTGTATTTGAGATTTAATCTCAACTGTACCTCCTTGCTTTTGTTTTTCTGACCATTCTTTGGTTCACTTAAAGTACTCCTACCAAATACTTCAGTAACAATATAAAGTAATGATCTTGTAATTATAGATTTCCTAAGAACAAGGTTCTTTTATCATTACTTTTGGCTTCTTATATACATACTGCTAATATATTAGATATTTTCAAATCTTTATTATGGTACTATTATACCATATCTATTATTATGTTATATGATTATACTATTATTTTGTTTATACTATTATACTGTACTATTGATTTTGGTTAATTAGACACTAAGGTCCTGATAAAGAAATCAAACATTTAATATATATGCTAATACACACACACACTCATATATAGACTATATATATGTTTTTATATGCACTTACATAAATATATATGTATGTGTATATGTGCATGCAATATTAATTATTATTGGATCTACCTGAAGATATAATGGGTGAAAAAAGCACTGCATCTTAAAAGTAAGGAATAACACTTTGGTGTTAGCTTAACTTAAAAATTTCCTTAACTAAAATATTTTGTCTTTTATATATATGAATGTATGTATATTTATATTTTTGGTAAGTGTCAGTGTCAGCTTCCTGAAAGACCTGAGATATAGATAGTAGAAGTACAGAATGATTATTAAAACCAGAAGAGCAGAAATTCTGAATTGCTCTAGATTATCAAATGGAGCTGAGACCTGCAAATTGGTTTCTACATCTCAAGACCTCTGATGGTGTACTAAATACATTGTGGTACATAATCTCCTGTTTCAGTGTCTTTATGAAGGCACTAAGATCTGTCCTCTTATACCCCTTCATTTTGCCTTCTTATTCAGTCAAAATATTCTTTGTTCAATTTTATTTGTTTATATTTGTTGTTTTGTAACTGAAGGGGGAAAAACTGTCCTTTGCTTTGACCAAGAGAAGGGATTTTTTACTGTCAGTAGTATTATTACAGAAATGATGACCTAGGGAGAAGGGGCTATTATCTGCTTTTATAATGGCTGGGATGCATAGCAAGCATTTAAAATATATTCTGCTTAAACATTAACAGCAGATTTCTAGTGACAAGGACAAAAATAAGTAGTTTTGTTGTCCAGCATCTGTATAAAGAAGGGTTTTTAAGAACAGGCAAGGCAGGCATTGAGAAATGATGTAGCAAAAGCTGATTTTTCTTAGCGATGCGGAGATAAATTGGATAACTTCTTAAAATCTCCTCTAACCCTATGATTCTGAATCTGGGATTATCTAAATCCTGTGTTGCTCAACTTCTATTGTGATGATTCCAGGATACTGTGGCATTTTAGAAGCAATAATGACTGAGCAGGCATCATTGCTTTTCTCTCTAAATACTGAAACACCTTTACACTCACTCTCTTACTGTTCTTTTTTTCTCCCCTCATCCTGCCTTCCCATAGTATAATAATAAATAATATTGATGAAATCATCAGTGCATCTCACCAGAGTTTCTGGCACTGATGGGGAAGTCTACATTGTTCAAATTAGTTAAAGACAGATAGATTTTATCTGTTTTGAGATTCTTCATTCTTTCCATCTGCTTTTGCCTTCTGTTTCAAAAACATGTGGCATAACTAGCTGCTGATCACTGAAATTTGGGCCTGACATGAGAAAACAATATAATGAACTGTATATTGCTGGTATATCAGGACCTGAGGAGATTACTTAGACTGCTTACTGTATTTGTGTTTCAGGCTGCAAATAGAAAAAAGCCCTGGAGACAAGAGACGAATGGGGGAAAAAAATCTTTGCAATTCTTCATTTTCCTTTTTTGTGCATATTTCTAAATGAAGCATTTCAAGGGTTTTAATGCTTACAAAATTGGATATCAGTTAAGTCTTATAACCTTTGCCTTCTCTAATGCTATCCAAGAGATTATCAAGCCTGGATGGGAAAAGGTCAGAACATGAAAAAGGGTATTATTGAAATGAAAGCTTACTTAACAGTTTACATTTCATATGTTTCAGCTGTTCCATTTTTATTGGGCTTAAGCCTTTTTTTTTTTTTTTCTCTCTCCAAATCACAATGCCGTGGAAATACGGCCCTTGATTCTGCAATTCTGTAAATTGTTCTGTATCTATCATTTCCCACAGTACAGGGTCATGCTTTCATCAAAGCCTCAGACCAAAATTCCCTCATTCCTGCATTCATGCCTGGCAGGATCACTAGTGGCCAGGACTTGCAGGAGCAGGGCCACTCTCATGAGGCATGAGGTCTGTGTCTCTGCAGCATGAGGGACAAGATATCTCAGAGGAGTCTTCAGCCCCTCCAGCCTTACCCAATTGTGTGACTGCAGTGGTTCTAGCATGACACTGAAATTCAAACTCCACTTTCAAAGCCACAGCCGAGTGTTGTGATGAAGAATCTGGAATTTAGTGTTTCAGGATTCATTAGATTCAATGGAAAAAGAGGAACTGAGATCAATAAGCTATGCACTACCAAAGCATATGAGTTTGGGATTTCAATGGCATTTTAGGATTAAAGCTAAATTAACAGCAACTGTACAAATAGACTGAGACTGTTCCACTTCACAAACATAAAGAGATTTAATTGACATTTATACAGCTTTAGTTGTCCAGAGCGGCTAGCTAGAATGTGAAGAGAGATAAATTAAAAATACACAAAGGAGAGTGTAATATGTACTGTACTGGTCTTGAGACCAGTGATTTAACTGAAATAAAAATAGATGTGAGTGAATTAAAAATAGTAATATTTTCTGTGTTGAAGGATTCAGGAGTAATGGAGATTATTAAAAACAGCTAATCAAGTTTTGAAGGAAGAGTTTCATATAAAGCGCATATCTGAAGTACCCAAATTAAGAGAAATTAAGCAGCATGATTGATTTTAATTGCTGAGCAAATTGTTAAAAAGTGATTATAATAAGCATCTCTCATCAAATAAATGCTCAGCTTTAGCACAGCTCTTAGGGTGGGAAAGTTTTTAATTCTTAAATATTCTGAAACTACTACAATCCTGTTCTTACCCAACAAAATAAGATAAATGGTGGTATAAGGGAAATCAATAAATTGATTTCAATTTCCTTCTACTTGAACTAATCATCACATTTTAAAACAAAGAAGACTGTAAACTGCCTTCAAAGGCACCACTTGACACCTATGCAAAAGATGTGCCTGAGCAACTTAAAATATAGGAACTGCCAATTATGCCTCTTACTGCTTTACCTAATGGGCTGCTGCCAACATGGACCAGTGATTGAACATAGAAAAAAAACAACTCTAAGCTTGTACTTCCTCAAAATGTACAAATTTGCAAATGCCTGACCCAGAACCATGAACATTCAATCTTCCCATGAATCTTCACACCACTAGTTTTGCACAACCAGAGAGCCAGTTTAAGAGGGGCTTCTGATACATATTTCAGTGTCAACATAGAAAGGACATGAACTGGCAAAAGTTCCCTTCCTTTATAATAATTGTGGGTTTTTTTCCCTATTTTGCCATGAATTATTACAATAAAAGTCATTCCTGCTTTAATATTTAATAAACAGATATTTAATATCTGTTCTTGGTATATGCTTAGATAAATCTCATGTTGCTTCAGGATGGAATGGATTTAATTACATAAAACCAGAAAAATATGTATTTCATTTGATAACCTCAAAGTAAATGTTCTACTTTTCTTTTTGTTTGCTTGAGCAAACATTGCATTTTCTGTAGTGTTTGCCCTAGAATCATTGCACTTGTTTGTTGTGCACAGCAGAGGCTCTTATAGAAGTGTTCTAATAACAGTGGGTGAATTAATTTCTATTAGGTTGGTGATAATTTACAAATTGTACTGACTTTTAAAATTGCAAACATGATCAGCACAATGTTAAATAAACTGTAGCATTTATAAAGTCACAGAAGACTCAAAGGCAGGCAGGAGAAAGAGAAGTAACAAACAATATTCCAAGTCTGAATTATTGTATCATCATACCTTCATTTTGGAAGGTTTTGGTCTTTCATTTTACACAGTTATAGAAAAACAGCACAATATAAGATTAGCTATATGATGACTCTTAAAGGTTTTCCAAGTGAATTAGGGACTACTTTGCTACACTTCATAACATGAAAGAATGAAGGCAATAAAAATATATTGTATATATACTATAGATATATATATATATATATACACAATATATTCTTTTTGTATAAGGGTTTATATTAAAACCAAGGAAAACTCATACAATAGACTTTGATGCATAGTTCAAAAATAAACCTTGCATAGAATAAATAATTGTTAATCATAGTAGATTATGTTAGACAGAGCGTTTGTGCCCTGTTGAAGTTCTTAGGAAAGAAATATGCTCTTTCTGAATTCAACTTAGATATACAGATTCTCTTTCAAATAGTTAGTTTAGTGATATTTTACAATGAGACTTCTTTCACACACTGATACTCTGAAACATTTTACATTTCTAAACCCAAGTTATTTGTAACCATGGCAGTTTGATACAGCAGGCCTCAATTAATTTTTAAACAATATTTTGGTTTGTGAAATACTGTGTATGAGGTCTTCTTTCACTGTAGTGCCCACAGCAGTTTTCTATAAACTCTGCAACTTTACCAGTCCAGAGAGAAAACGTCAGTGTAATGATGTTCAACACTGCAGCATTTACGGATGTTGCTTTCAACCTTCGTATTATTATGTAACTTCTGCTGAAGACTTTTTCTCTTGACAACTATAGGTCAGATTTGCATTGAGCATCCTGCACTGACTGTGCAAGTGTGCTGTTGAAACTTAGATTGTGCTGAGGGTTTTCCTTTTTACATTTTTACAGATAATGTAGATACTCAAGCAGGGTGCCTTTAGAGGTCTGGAAATTGATTGAGAGTCTTATGTAAAAACCACTAATTTTTCCTATGAGTCTAAGTGTGAAAGTTTGCAGAAAGTTTTTCTTTATATAAGAAAAATTTGCTTCATGTAATCCTATTTTGATGAATATTCTATGGATTTTTGTGTGTACAGATTAATTTTTTACTGTCATTTATATAATACAGATGATAAAAAATTAGTATTCATATAGTTTTATTAATGCGTTCAAAAATGAGTTTATTCATTATTTTTTCTAGAAATAAATATTATTCTTTCCAGTTGTATCAAATTTTTCTTCCTGCTTTTGTAATCAAAAGAATAATTAGATCCTCTCTAATGAAGTAAAACTAATCTTCCACTTAGAACTGTGAGTCTACAAGCATGTACTTCAAAATGTAATTTTGTCCTTCTTAATAAAAGTTCTGGTTTCTTATCTTCCTTAGCAGTTCAGCTTCTACTTGTATTCTTTTAAAATTATATGATTGGAAGCAAAAAAAAAAAAAAAAAGTTTAAATTCATTAAATTACTATTTTGTTCTGTTTCCATTGTAACACTGCATTTCTATGGTCAAAGTTTTTTAATACTAGTCCATATGTGGGCTCTCAGGAAAATTAAGCTGCATTGATGAAGACTGTGAATTTAGAAATTAGTGATGTTAGCTCATTTTTTTCTCAGTTCATTGAATAACCCAAACTAAAGCTACTTTAATTCAGAAGGAATTTTAATTTTTAAAGTGGAGTATCCCATACAGAATTTGGATGAGGCAATCCAGTTAATGCCTACCTGCTATGAGTGTTTCTGTGATAACTCTTTCTGAAAAAAGTCTGAAGCAAAACCCAATGAAAAGGATGTAATCCAGTCAAGCACTAAGTCACATCCAAATCTGAAGGCTTTTCATGTTCAGGTAATGCCTAAGATATCAGAAGTTATATGAAGAACAGATCAAAGTACCTGAATTAAATTTTAATGTTCATGCAACAGGAGTCTGTGCAGATTCTTCCTAAAAACATGTTTTATACCTATGAGACTGAGAAAGGAAATAAGAAGCATAAAAACCAGCCCAATCTCACAATGAATTTTCTTTCAGAATAAACAAGATATCTCTGCTATCAGCAAGACCTTCCTTCAAACTTTTGGGAATCTTTATGCATATTTGAGAAAATCGCTTGTATGGAGAGATTGCATTCTAGTGTACTGCTATGTAATTAGATGTAGTTTTTCCTTCTAAGTCTGAGGAATGAATTTCTGTCAAGTTAAACACATTTATGCCTTATGTTAGTAAGAGGTTGCCTTGTTGAAGCTTGTGTTATTCTTGATCTTACATACGCCAGGTATTTGTGTGAAGAAGTCATGTCTGCATAGGCCTCTTGGTGTCAGTGAAGACATAAATGGACCCTTGTGGAATGCAATTAGTTTAATCTTCCAAATAGTTGGATAGAACTTCCTAGAAGAACTTGTTTCTCCCCTTTGTCTGTAAAGGGCATCAGTCTGAAAGAATTTTTGTTATCAAAGTTTGAAATATCTAGTAACTCAATCTAATATATAGTATCTATGTTGAGACAAAATCAAAATAACCTAAAGACTGAGTATTACAGCTGGTCGACTGATCCACAGTAGCTATTTCTAACAGTTTGAGATATTTCACTTGAAAACTAGATACCCATATTAATCCATATACTGCATGTAATATACAACACTGTTGATCTGTTTTTGCTAGTACTGATCTTCTGGACAAAGTGATGTGTAAAGCTCACTGAGCCAAGCTGTTTGAAATAATTGCACAAGACGAAGCATCAGTTTAATTCTTTCTCGGTGCTGTATGTCAAGGATGGAACATATTCTAAGGCACTGAACTTGTGTTTCACATAGTTTCTCAAAGTTTCAGTTCAAATGTAAGATAAAACAGTAAACAGATTTGGAGAGAATTAGAGTGTTTATGAAAAGAAGATTAACTTTTCCTTTAATTTTCCCTGTTTCCTTAGCCTGTTTTCACTGTGGGTGATGTTATGCTATCTAGAACTCCAGGTTTTAAGTCTTCAGCTACAGAATCACAGAATGGGTCCAATTGGATGCGACAACAAGGGTACATCTGGTCCAACCTCCCTGCTCAAACAGTGTCCTCCCAGAGCACATGGCACAGATTGCATCCAGACAGTTCTTGAATATCTCCAGTGAGGGAGACTCCACAATGTCTCTGGGTGAGGCTCAGTTATTTTAAACTGTTATTAAAAACTATTATTAACAGTTCTTAGAGCAATTCTTAAAAAGTGCTATAAAAACCGGTCTGTTTGTGTCCTTTTTGCAAATATGACAATGACAATATTTGAGAGATGCTTATATTCCTGTATAAAACAGCTTCCCAGCAATGCTTATTTTATAATGCCTCACTCTCGTACCCTGATGTCTTTAAAACATCTTAATCATACATTAGTACAACAGTTATAGATGAAGTAACAAGCCTAGCCTTATGTTACATCTAATAAAAATGCATTTTTTCACTGTTTAGTTAAGTATTTCTGGAATCTACAAATATGGTACGGCAGACAGCTAATATTATTAAGTACAAACATCAAAGCAACTTGCTCTATTCTACTTAAGAAAGAAAAGTATATAGGCAGTGCCTCCTGAAATCCTTGAGCAGGAGATGTTCAAAATAAATAAAAACTAATTTTAAAATCCTAACTTTTTATATATATATATATATAAGGATTTTTTTTTCCAGTGACAATAATTAAACATTGTCAGTTAACACATTGTGATTTCTGAATGGTAGAAGACCAATGTTGAATGGTGCAGGGGTGCTAGACAGCAGCTAATGGAGAGAGGTGGCATAAACCTTTAGAGAGGATTTTTGAACAATAATGTCTAGATAAATGTTACTGGCCATGGACGACATATATTTATAATGCAGGAAAGTTTTTGCTGTGATCAAGCCCAACAAAAATTCATTCTGTAAGACTGCCCTTCAGCCTTTTGACAGCACAGACTATTCACAGAGATTCACAGTAATCATTAAATTTCAAATAAATCTTTTAATATAGAGAGAATTAGTTTTTCAAACGATAATTTTTTACCAATCAGTTCAAGACCTGATAACTAGGCTCTGCTTCCTCTCTAATTGCTTACTAAATGAATGTATTTATAGTGAAAAAGGGTTGAATCAAACAGCCAGAAGTTGTTTATTTGCATGACACCTGTGAGGAATTTAAAATGAAAATTAATTTAGCTCATGTTTCAGTCAATGTAGTTAATTGTTTTGTATTCATATGTTGACAATGCTATGTTTGAATGCACAAGAAAGTGTACAACAATTTGAGCGTACAACTTCATTTTTTGGGGGGTGAGATTCAACTGACGTCTATAGCTATGCAAACTTAGACATCTGCTTTGGGCTTCTTGAGCCTATGCAGTCAATGGAGACAGACACATCCTACTTGGTGCTAGTGGACTGGATGTTTCTAACCTCTGTAATCAGTTG